GATAATCTAGTCCATCCAAATGAGTAAGATGCCCTCTGGTAAACTAACATGACTATGGGAAATCACCATGTTTAAAGGGTAAATCAACTATATATAAATGACCATTTTCAATAGCTATTTTGACATAACCAGAGGGTAACTCATTTCACTTCTTTTTACCGGTTGGCTCATGGAGATTGCCAACATAACTTTGCAGTATGCAGTATCCCCATTGAACATGGTGTATGTCTACATGTTTCATACAAATGTCATCCAAGTGCTGTTGCCAACATTGTTTCTGATTTCCGGAGGTTTCCAAAACCAAGAAAATCTTCCAAACGAGTATATAATATATAATCGTCCAAAAAATGGGCGTCAAAGATGATTGTGCATGATGTTGACATGTTCATTTGGGGGGTTCCATGAATGGGGGTACTCCAAAATGGAGGGTTTATAATGGAAATCCCATTAAAATGGATGATATGGGGGTACCCATACTTTAGGAAACCTTCATTTGTTAACTCCATGTTGCATTCCAGGGATGTATAAGCCTGCATTTTGGAAGAAGGTGTCCCAAACCTGCGTCCAGAATATTTCGACATGGCGTATCTGGGGTGCCACAAAGTTCAGAATCACGATCTATCCACACAAAGTGGGGGCCCCGTTTACAATAGCTACAGTACTGTAAGTTGGTTTTAGAAATCTAAAAAACTAGTGCTTATGCCACTTATAATAGGACTATTCATGAGGTTTAAAACCAACATTCACATCACCGTTGGAGGCCAGACACCGAAGTCTTGTTCCTTACACCCCCATGGCTGATGATACCCTCCAAAATGTCAAGAACTGAAAGGTTGTTTCAACCATCCCAAAAGTATGCTTGTCAATTTGGATCATCATCCCCGTCATGTGGCTGGAAAAACATATATGTGAAAGCATCAACCAGATCAAGAGTGTTTATATATATATATATACCCATCTATACCCATCACACATGTATCATGTTGATGGTTACAGTCAATTTCCATATGGAGGTGTCCTAGAATGGGGGTAGCCCCAAATCATCTCATGGATTACCATTTCACTATTGAAACATACGGTGACCTGGGGATCCCTCATTTTAGGAAATCTGGGCAAAAAAAAGCCATGTTTACCATCTTCAGCCATCACCATTTTTATAGATGTTTACACCTTTCTCAGTCATGGTTGGTTTATGACATTGTTGGTTGAAAACAGTTTCCCTCCTATGGGTTATCATAATCCCCAGTAAATTAGCTAGTATAAGTCCCTATAGGAACCAATCAACCAGGGTATTTTGTTCATGGCTCATTTAAATAATTTGTTTTACCCACATTAGATCCTAGAAACCTATAATAATGATGTTATTCCATTCTATACCCATCATTGTTTGTTACTGTAATATCCCCATCATTTGCCTAAATGCATTTTTGGATACCCATGAATCATGGTGCTTCCCTCGCCAGGCAAAAATGGTCATATCAAATCTCGGCCTGCATCTTTGCCGTCCTGGCGGTTTGTTTGGAGAAAAGTTGTCAGCCGGGAAAAAAAATATTAAAAACATAGGGTGCAGGTTCTATGGTTTATGGTAGATATAACGAACTAGTATTCATGGGGATTATAATGGTTTATAAACCAACTTATAACGGGGGGGGCCATCCTGTAGGGTGGTGACCCATAGATAGCGAGGTGAGTTTACAACTCCAATACTATAGGTTTGCCATGTTTGATTCCCAGTTACAAGTTGATATATAACTTATATACCCTCTGGTGCACTAACAGTTTGCGAACTGGAAAATCACCATCTTTAAGTTCGGTAAATCAACGAACTAAATGTGTCATGGCTTCAATAGCTATGTAACTCCAATACCAGAGTTAAACTAGTTAGCATACATTTCCTATCATGCAATATACCACTCGTTAGTTTATAAACCATTACTTTTTTACCATTAGTTACAGTAAGTAACTCTGATTTCTCCCACGAAAATTCGATGAGAGAGATGATCAAGATCAAACGACGGCCAGAGAGTCTGAAGCGGGGAGAGTGATACTTTACTTGAATGTACTCAGCTACCTGGTAAACTTAACAATACATAACATAGCTATGGAAAATCAACCACTTGTATGCGAAAATAGTGTACATTCATCTACAAATGGGCATGTTTGATAGCTATGTTAGTTTACTGGATTCTACATGTATGTCCCACAATGGAAATCCCAACATCACGGCATAGAATAGGTGTTCCTTTAAATCCCTCTGAAAATGGATTGATTACCATCCCACCCAAAAAAGGGCAGTTGACCCGAAGACCTGACCATGGCACATGTTTGGTGCTTGGGTGCCCCACTTCGAAACTGCTGAAGAAAACACTGGCTGCTAGCTACTCATGCTACTCATCAGTTTCAACAAAGGATGGTGACCGATTCCACGACTGGCAGCGGGTAACACTTTTTCGGCAGAAAACCCTGGCGGTTAACAGTACTGTATCCTCAAAGTCACAGTGTAACCATCCTCATATGGCTACGGGTCAATAAATACTGGGTACCCTCTGCTAAACTAACATAGCTATGGAAAATCACCATTTTTAATGGGTAAATCCACTATAGATGGCCATTTTCAATAGCTATGTAACAAATTACCAGAGGGTACGTCAAACAATGGACTTCAGCCAGGTTTTTTCTGATTTCGGTGGAAGTTTGGGCATCCTTAAACGTTTTGGAGAAACGCTTACCACAAGTACGCCAAAGCCAAGCCAGCCAACGCACTGAAGAGTCGATTGACGACTGCTACTGGTATTGCTGAGACTCATGGGACTACACACATTTTAGTCCATTGTTAAAATGAACTTCAAAAAATTGACGTACCCTCTGGTAATTTGTTACATAGCTATTGAAAATGGCCATCTATAGTGGATTTACCCATTAAAAATAGTGATTTTCCATAGCTATGTTAGTTTACCAGAGGGTACCCAGATGTTCAATCGTCGGCAAGTGGATATGAGTCAACAATGTGTACTCAGAACATCAGAATTTTGGGATCTATATATAAAAGGTTTAGAACCACAGCCCTGAAGATAAACACATGCAAAATATTAGATACTAATGACAACAACCAAACATGGCTGGTTGGATCTGGTAACTTTCAAATAGTCTGATTTGCAGCAAAAGATTAAGATATGAAAATACTTATCCATCTAATTAGATCTAATTAATTGTTTCCCCCGGAAAACGGAACATGCCTAAGGAGATGAAAAACGGCTTTCCCAGTGAATTCAGTCTCATTGCACCCTCTGGCAACCCAACGTGATAAGTTCGGTACATCGAGCTCAATGTGCCATGGCTTCCGGAGAGTGATCCCACTTTCTCATGGTACCCTCCTGTAAACGAACAGAATTCGATGTGGAAAATTCACTATTTCTAGATGATGTTCCTGATTTTTCCGGATTTAGCCCATGGTAAACGCCCAGTAAAACCATGTTTAAATGCCCATTATTTAGCCCATTTAAAATACCCGTTTCTTCCGGTTAAACGGGGCCCCGGACTCCCGAGACTGACGCAGTAGCCTCACGAGCCACAGAAGTGGATCAACAGCAGCTATCCATACCCATCCCAGGTCTCTATCGATATATGTGTATATATATATTATTATATTATATATATCGATATTACTATATATTAGTCATAAATTAATGAATGTATGACCTACTTTATAAAATGATTACCCCAAATGTGATATACCCTCTGGTGTCATCGGACATGGCGCGAATTCCTGAAGTAAAAGGAGGTTGTCAATGGAAAACAATCTATAAATGATGGATTTTCCATTGCCACGTTTGATTACCAGAGGGTAAATAGGTTGTGATCCATTCCACCATTTCTAGGGATGGAAAATATATTTGAAACCAGCCAAACTAGGGAGAGAGAGTCGTGATGAAGATAGAATTTCCTCTAACTTCAAAGTTTTGAAAGTGAAGTGGCAGCAGCCAGTAGCCCTAGGGTTACATACCACCCGGCCAATTTCAAGTGTCACAAAAAGTGGGGGGGTTCCGAAGAGACTTCACCGAGTCTCCATGAAAATTGAGCTGTCTAAATACCTGTCTCCAACACCATTCCTGTTGAGTGCGACTCGGGTATCCTTTGATAATCCAACCTAGTTTCTGCAAAATCCAACGTGACCCTTCTTAGAGATGATGGTCCAACAAACACATGGCCAATCTGCCAGATTTCCTGCAAAAAAATAAATTCTTAGCTGCTGAGTAGATAATCCCATTGATACCAAAAGACCAAAGGATTTAACTACCCATCTAAGATTGACCTAGAACAAGAGAAACTGATTTTGAAGCCATCTTTCACTCCCTGTTACATGGCTTTCTACTGGGTAGCGACATGGCAGATCAGCAAGTTCCAGACACCAAAGCCAGCTTCGAGGGATCCCAAAATGGAGCGTTCTTGAATCAACCGGGGAGTTGTTGTTTCATTTTTACAAATGGGGTCTCAAAATGCGGCATACACAAATTTGTCATGTGAATGGTGAGCACATGTGAGCACGATGATCATGAAATGTACCCTCTGGTTATGACTAACATAGCCATGGAAAATGGTTGATTTTCCCATTAAAACCTCCATTTTTCATGGATTTCCCATGGCTATGTTAGTCACAACCAGAGGGTATATCAAGGAAGTTGTGCGAACGTTCCATTGCCATGTTTGACTACAGTACCAAGAAGATCCCCAAGTTCATCCAAGTCCGGTGAAGATCAAAGTCGTCGGGCTTTCGTTAAAAGGGATAACCCAACGGTTACTTGGCTATCCATAATATATCCATAATATATCCATAATATATCCATATATATATATCCATTATATCTATATATGGTTTTGCTTGGAATTGATGCGAGAAATCGAGATGTGGGATTCGTCTACCGCCTTGATATTCAAGTGAGGAGGACTTGTGAACCACCGATTTTTTTAGCAGTTCCGATATTTTTGGAGATCCTCCCATGTCACCCCCAGCACACCTCGGGGCTCGTCTCAGCTTTAGGTTCCTGCGCAAGAAACAGAGAGATACTGGGAAATTTCACACGCTTGGCGGTTGGGGTAGTTCACGCCGGTGAATTCAGATATCTGTCAGGATTGATATACTGTGGATGGTTGTGAAATCCTGCACCACCTTGGGTAGTTGCAAGCCTATGAAGAATAGGATAAATCAATATAAATCATCCTTCAAGTACATCAGCCAGGATTATAATTATCTGGTTGGTGGTTGACCTACCCCTCTGAAAAAATATGAGTTCGTCAGTTGGGATCATTATTCCCAACTGAATGGAAAAATAAAAGCCATGTTCCAAACCACCAACCAGTTATAGATGTCCTTAGTTCACTAATAACTAGCTGGAATGTACCACAGGACCATGCGGTGAACCATCGCTTCAACTACAAAGACCTGCTTTGTAAAGCTCGAATGTTTTCACAGGGCCTTTTTTGTATGATACCTTTTGGTTGAAATGTTGGGAGTAGTACTTCCCATGAATTCTGTGAGATTAACGCATTTAAGGGGCGCCATTCAAGGTATAAAAAAAACAGGCTCACCAGAAACACGGCCACTTTGGGCCGGATCGTCCAAGGGATTGAGTATGACAGGCCACTCCTTTGCAAGTGACTTTTTTTTAACCCTACTGATTGACTGGTTGGTGGTTGACCAGCCCCTCTGAAAAATATGAGTCAGTTGGGATCATTATTCCCAACTGAATGGAAAAATAATCCAAATGTTCCAGTCACCACCAAGCAGTTGAGGTATAAAGACCATTTCTGGCTTGCTGTCGGGCCCATGACTGCAATCAATGCTAGGATTTTTGTCATTGTCCCACTGAAAAATTGGACAGACTTGGGGTAGCACACGCTTCTTTGGACAAACCCGTTGTACACAATATCTATATTATATATATATATATATATATTATATATATATATTATATATATATATTATATATATTATATATATTATATATATTATATATATAATATATATTATATATATATATATATTATATATATATATATATATATATATATATATATATATATATATATATATATATTATATATATATTATATATATATTATATATATATATATATATATATATATATATATATATATATATATATATTATATATATATATATTATATATATTATATATATATTATATATATATTATATATATATTATATATTATATATATATATTATATATATATATATTATATATATTATATATATTATATATATATATTATATATATTGTTGGTTGAATCCCAATATATCTATCATATTTACCATTATAGTTATAGTGTTAATTGATGATGCGTTTACATCCCTCATTTCCTTGTCCAAATGGTGAGTACGTCAAGTATAGCCCGGCAAAAATTGTATGATTGATAAACTGGAATATCTATGAATCTATGAGGTGGTTGGGCAACTCAATTCCTACATTTTCCCAGGTTTTCCTATATTTCTGTTCCAGGAATGGCCTCGTAGTTGGCCACTCGCTCAGAGACCTCCTCGTGGAGACGATCCTGCGCCATGGTCAAAAAGATAGGGGATAGATTGGGGGTGCAGTTCCACCTAATAAGTGGGATATAATATGATATGATGGGATATGATGTAATATGATATGATGTATGATGTATGATGTAAGATGTATGATATATGATATATATATATATATGTGATATATAGATGTGATATATAATGTGTATATATATATATGTGATATATATATATATGTGATATATATATATGTGATATGTATATATATACATAGAGATCATACTCTCCAGTAAAATAACATAGCTATGGAAAATTGTCTGTTTATAGATGAATTCCCTATTAAACATGGTGATTTCCATAGCTACGTTAGTTTACCAGAGGGTATATGAACGATACATACACATGACCACAATTGTAGGGATTAGATACCAACCAACTTATAGAGGTTATAATATACCATGGTTATGCCCATTGTCATAACCTCATGATTTGTTTATATTTCATCCCATTTTATGGGAATCCTGGGAATCCTGAACTCATGGCTAAAAAAAGAACTCCCCAGGCTGAAAGTTCTTGACCCTATCCCCCGGGAAAGTGCCAAATCCTCAGTAACCGCGGTTGACCTTTTCGGAAAGCGATGAGCGGAAAGTTTGAGTTTGATGGGCTGCCTGGATCCCACCATTGGAAGATGGTTGGTTACTCTCGCAGTTGAAGATTGACCATGGTTTATAGGCTTTATACTAGATCTAATGTGGGTAAAACCATACTTAATCATGGGATAATCAATCATAAACCATATGTATATATATATATATATGAATGGGTTACCATCTGGTTATGATTAACAGTTCGCCATGGAAAATCCCAACCATAAATGGAGGTTTAGTTCGCTGGGAAAATCATCTATTTCTATGGGCCATGGCTTCCATGGCTATGTTAAATAACCCGAGGGTACCAAAAGATTAATTAAAAGACTCTTGACAAGGCACAACTCATAGAAATATAAGTGCTACCAAGCTATTTACGATGATATCGAAAAATTAGGCACGAACTTTAGCCGTTCACTGTATCCGTTCTACCATGGCCAACACCTACAGTTTCATTACCCATTCATGCATTAGCATACTAAGTCACTTTCCCCATAGGCCACGTCCCAACTGATAAGATACGACTTCCGGGTGTGCGATACAACTTAGGTCTATGACCCAATAGTAGCTTTACCCACAAGTTCGATGATTGATTCCAACATTTCCTGAAGGTTGACTCCCATATTCTCGAGGTGTTAAAAATCTGGTTAACCATATGCAAAAAACATTTTGTAAGTTGCCTAAATTCCACGAAAATGTAAGAAGATCATATAGGAATGGGTCAAAACCCCTGTGCCACTGTAGTTAGTTCACTTCAGCTGGTAGTTCTGGATGTTCATCCCCTAACACAATGTACAATGTGAGGCCCCGTTTGATAGCTAAGTTGGTTTATAACTCCAATAACTATGGTTTATGGTATTTATAAATATACTATAGTTACTAGGGCTTATAAACCAACTTATATCTTGGGGGCCTCACATTGTATCTATGTATTGATCCGTAGCCCAAAAAAAACACTATGAATGAAGCATCAAATATATAAACATGGGATTATAACTATTTGTTTTCCAACAATGATTGGGGATATTGATCTGGGCAAATTACAATAATTCACAAACCTGAAATTTCCAGGCCCATTTCGGGATAGTTACCACTACTAACCATCATTCCAGGCTTCGGGAGAACAGAATTCGGCTGTGATGAAATTTACCCAGATTTACCCATGCATAACGATATAAATCATCATAAATCACCTACCGTAAGAATATCAAACATGGGATAACTAATTGTAAACAAATATATCCAACAATTACCCTCTAGTAAACTAACATAGCTGTTGAAAATTGCCATTGATAGTGGATTTACCCAGCTATAAAATGGTGGTTTTCCATAGTTTTTTGTATGTTTACGAGAGGGTATATCCCATTATTAACCATTATTAACATTTATTAACCATTATTAACCACAATTATTAACCATAACTGGTTGGTGGTTTACCAGAGGGTATTGGGGATATTGATGCATAGCCAAATAATATGATCCATTCTGGCCGCTTCAACTGCTATGAATTTCCCTTCCGCGTAGCAAAAACCCACCTGCTCTTCCAGAGGGAGCTGCTGCATCCTGAGACGGCGAGCCCGGCAACGTGGAAATGTAGCCGCTGAAATGCTATAGATTATTATAGGTTTATAGGATTTATATAGGTTTAAAAGATGTTCATAAAATGCATTAATACCATACAAATGGATTTGTATAGTTTCATAGGATTTATATATAGGTTTATAGGATTATATATAAGATGGACTTGTATTATATATATATGGATTATTATAGGTTTATAGGATTTATATAAGATAGATTTGTATTATATAAATGGAGTATAGTTTTATAGGATTTATATATAGGTTTAAAGGATGTATATAAGATGGATTTGTATTATATAAATGGATTACAGTTTTATAGGAATTATATATAGGTTTATAGGAATTATATAAGATGGATTTGTATTAATATATAAATCGAGTATTATAGGTTTATAGGATTATATATAGGTTTATAGGATTTATAAATGGATTATTATAGGTTTTATAGGATTTATATCAGATGATATTTGTACAAGCCACGACCATTGGTGATGTCAATCGAATTGAATCGGCTGGTAAATTTTGCATGGCTAAGCCTGGATAAGATGTTTGGCGTGGTTAAGCAGGATCATATTCTACTTGGTGGTGCATACCACAAATCAGAAGTGGGTTGATATAAGTTATATAGTTCACCCCAGTTGCAACTGGACGAGCCGTACTTGCCCTGTTTCTGACCGGTTTTTTGTTCAAACCCACTTAGCCGGGATGAACCCACGAACCAACGATCAGGTTGGGAAAGTCTTGGTAGCTCCTTGGCTCCCCATTTTTTGTGGAATATGGATAGCTATAGCTACAAACAGCTCCTTCCTAAGCACCAGATCGCCGAATATATTTCAGATTGACGAAATCTTTTGGTTTAGAACTCCCAACACCTTGGTATACTTTAAAAGAACATGACTTTATACAACCTACAAACTAGGAGAAATAATTAGCTAGACGAACTAGCCTCAAAAATCAACTAGCCTCGCCCTTGCGCTTGGTGCGGATGATCAGACCCAGCTAAGGTGCCAACCCATCCGGCTTGGGAGCTAATCCCAAATGTTCTTTAAGAGTTGCCGGGGTTCACAAAAATGAAATATGGATGTGGATATGAATGGATATATAGTGGTGATAATACCCAAAACTGAAGGCACATGATGTTCCCCTGCAGTTTATGGCCCAACTAACAGTTACTTAATAGTGGTGATATGATGGAGATAGATTTTTTGGCAATACCCTCCGGTGTCATCAAACGTGGCTTGCTGGAAAATCCTGCCAAAATCATCGAACTAAACATGGGGGGTTTTCCAGCCAGCCATGTTTGATGACACCGGAGGGTACCTAGATTTGTTGTTTAAATCTCTTCTTTTTCAATGGATTGGTTTAAGGGAAAATTTACAGGAAACCCAGATTGAATGGGAAAATCGATGGTTTCCGGTTTCCATTTTCCCTTAAACCAACCCATTGGCTTTTTTTTGGACGGTGCATACTATTGCTACCATGCACGCCACCCATCTGGCTGCTGCCCCAAAAAAAGGGCTGTACTAAAAAATCACCTCTAGCTGCACGACAGCAGGCGACCATCAGAAAGGTGATCGACCTTTCCAATACATCTATACTGGTTGGAGGTTCAACCCCTCTGAAAAATATGAAAGTCAGTTGGGATTATTTGGGAGAAGGCAACAAAAAGAGGCCACCAATTGCTGGACCACAGGTCCCTCTACAGCTGGATGGGCTGATGTTAGCAAACTAAAATCCATCAAATGCCCACGAAATCCCTATCAAATCACCATTTTCCCCATGGAATTTCCCATGTAATTCTCATGAAGAAATCACCATTTTCCCATGTAATTCTCATGAAATCCCCATGAAAATCCCATGAAAATCCTATGAAATTCCCTTTAGATCCCTTTTACCCATGAAATCCCCATGTTTGTTGCTAGAAATATCCAAAGAAACGCCACACCAAAAACGCCACCAAGGAGCAGCTCAGCGCTGACCCTCTTCAAGACGTCCAGCCAGGTGCGGAGATCCTGGTTGAAAAAAGCCGTGGAAGTGATGCCTTTGTGCTTGGTACCCTCTGGTAAACATAGAAAAAGCTATGGAAAATGGTGATTTATGGTGATTTAATGGTGATTTAATGGGATGTAATGAAAGTTGGTTGAACTAACTATAGGTACCCTCTGGTAAACTAACAGTTTGCGAACTGGAAAATCACCATTTTTCATAGGTATATCAACTATTTCTATGGGCCATGTTCCATAGCTATGTAGTAAATTGGTATATGTCCATGGTTTAGTTTAGTATCTATAATTAGTAAAACCATATAGTGTACTAAAATAGTATCTATAAATTAGTGTATCTATAATAATTATGTTTACTGGTGCTAAACGTAGGGAATGGATGGGAATGGGGGTTGCTGGGAAGATTATTGATAGTTAGCCAGTGGATCATTCCCGAAAATTCCCTGCTAAGCACAAGTAGGTATGTTCATAATAGACATCACTTCCACGGCTGTCACTATTGCATATGTGAAAGTTGGAGATGTTCGTAATAGGATATTGCAAGGTGGTGCCCCCCAAGTTATAAGTTAGTTTATAATCCCATTAACTATAGATATATCACCTATAAACCATAGTTATTGGAGTTATAAACCAACTTAGCTATCTAGGGGGCACCACCTTGTGTGGATTTACAATGATTTATAGTCGTTCCTATTATCCTACTTATCCCAAAATCTATCATACTGTGGATGCTGGCGCAATCCTGCAGCATTGAGATTTCTATTGATGGATTCCTATAAAATGTTGGGACTATTTCATGGGATTATGGACCAGGATATGGATATTGATGTTGATGAAGTTTTGTTATAGGATATGAATGGATTTAGTGGGATATAACTAACCAACAATAACTATCCAATGGTAAAATACCTTGGATTTAATCCTATGAAGAAAAGAGCTGAGTGGGATAACCAGTTGGATGGACAACCAGTTGATTTTCATAGTTTGGTGATGGTTAAGTTTAGTTGTTGATTGATATTTGTCCATATTGATAATGTTGATATGTGTCAATCATGTTGATTGATACTTGTTAACATGTTGTTGGCTCATGTTGGATAATGTGGTGAACCCAAATTTGGTACGGATAAAAAATTGCATTGAGTAGGCCCCGTTTGGGATGAAAGTGATCCCCAGTGGTGGTGAGGGGGATGGTTTACAGCATTGGGTTTACCACGTTCATCTTAATGCTGATTGATTTTGGTTGATATGTGTCAATATTGGTCGACGTTTCTTACACTTGATTCACACTTCCAGAGTTGGGAAGTAAGGGAATATTTGATAGAAAACACTGATATAAATCATGGGGATATTGATGAATATGTGTTGATATTTGTCCATATTTGTTAATGTTGGGGTTAATACAATTGGTTGGCTGATGTTGATCTCATGAAATACTGGTCGATGGAAAGGTATCCATATGGTGTTGTGGTTCATTTCTTGGATTGGATGTGCATCCCAGTTCGTAAGTGGTAAAAAAAAAAAAAAAACTATATACGACTCAGATATCTGTATATGTATATGTATATATGTTATGTATATATATATAATGTGTATATGTATATATGTTATGTATGTATATATAATGTGTAAATATATGTATTATGTGTATATATATATATACAATGTACATGTGTATATATAATGTATATATGTATCTATATACTGTATATATACTGTGTATATATATATACTGTATATGTATATATATATGTGTGTGTATTATGTATACAGTATACATATATCTATGTATGTATGTATGTATGTATGTATGTATGTATGTATGTATGTATGTATGTATGTATGTATGTATGTATGTATGTATGTATGTATGTATGTATGTATGTATGTATGTATGTATGTATGTATTATGTGTATGTATTATGTGTATATATATAATGTGTATATATATAATGTATATATAATGTATTATGTATATTATATATATATATATTATGTATGTAAATATCAATGCATAACTTATAAAACCATCGGAAAAAAAAAAAAAAAAAACATTTAAAAAAATATATGAAACCCATATATCCGCCATATATGATATATTTGGCACCATATATAAAAGCCATATATAGAAAGCCAAAAAAAAATGGCTGAAACACCGTGGTCCAGCGTCGGTCCTCCATCATGGTGCATGGAGTCTTCAAGTCCAGGCAGATCAAAGCGGCACATCGCCTTTGTCAACGACTTGGCCCCAAGCTTCCCGAGCTTCTGGGATATCAAATTTTATACATATATATATATATATATACCCTCTGGTAAACTAACATAGCTATGGAAAATCTCCATGCTATTAATGGGAACACTCACTATAAATGGCCATGTTCAATAGCTATGTAACAAATAACCAGAGGGTATATATATATACTAGTTGGTGGTTTCAACCCCTCTGAAACATATGAGTCAATGGGAAGGATTATCCCATATATTATGGAAAATAAAAAATGTTTGAAACCACCAACTAGTATATATATATATTCCCATTTATGGGATTTCCTATTGATATGTGTGATGTAAGGGAATCGATATTCATGAGAATAGCAATGAATATCATAGCTATATAATTAATGAATCACAACTATGTCCCATCTGCTGGTGCAAAGCCAGTGTCTTGATGTTATCTCTACAGAGGTATAGTTATCACTACCATCAACCCAACTGTTGACCCCCCGTGAACTGTGCTTAAAAAAACATGGTAACATAAACATACGCCCAAATATTTGAAATAAAAATGGGGAATCATGGATATTATGGGAATGTATGGAAATGTATGGGAATGTATTACGTTTTTGTGAGGAAAGCACAGTGCGGGCCGCTTTTGACCAATTCAAGTAGAGATATATATTCACCATAAATCCAACAGTCATTGTAATTCTGTACAAGCTTCAAAAAACAGCTTTTTCGGGTATGCCATATACCCATTTTCAGACCTGTTTTCTACAAAATATCCCAAGCTTAGTTGGTAAATTCCCCAAAAAAATGGGGGGATACCCCAGTAGCATTGAGCATCCCAACACCTGGCGAAGCGCTAGACTGCAAAAACTGATCAAGGTCACTCAAACCTATGAAAGAAACTCTGTTGAACCAGCAAAAAAGGATATTTTGCCAGCAAGAAAAAGGTTGTCATTGTTTAACCAATTTAACTAACAAAAAACTATGCCAAACAAACTGAATCTCACCAAAACGATGGGGATTCAAAAGATTTCCCCCAACACTTCGAGCATCACCCCACAAATTGTAACCGCTTAGTCCCCTTAGTGTTTGTGGGGTGAGTTTCCCCAAGTTACTTTGACCAATGGCAGGTTTCCCCCATGGTTACCGCTTCCCCCCATCGATCTGCCAAGACACGATAAATCGTCTGCTTTCAGGCGACTCAGGAGCAATTTCTCAAAGACTGGATCCTGCGGAAAATCAGTTGGAAGGGGAATACAGTGAAACAAACGGCTATATATGGTACATCTATGAGTATATACTGGTACTGTATATATGGGTATGCAATATTTTTGGATAAGTGGGATCAGCAACAGAAATGGTGCTTCGACAATTCGACCATCAAAAATGGTGCTGGAAAAACAACTGACCAATGGATTCCTGTTTGCTAAGTTGGTTTTGGGCAATCCATCAACATCTATCAACGATGTTTGGCTGATTGGGTTAATATTTCCCAAGAATAATCTAAGGTCGACCCGGGATGGGGGTTAAAAAAATGGATCTTCACATTTGACATAAAACCAACCATGAAAACGGAGGATATCTGCAACCAGAATAGAAGCAGCCATGATATAGGAATATTGATACTCAATATGTGTATATACACATATATAATTACATATATCACGGTGGCGCTCTTCTTGTTTTGGCCAAGCACAAGGCGACGTCATTCGCGCCCCTTCTTGGGTGAGAGGGTCATCAAAGATTGATGGCGGATTGGCATACATGGCGCCTCAGCAAGAGAGGCACACTTGTTCACAAAGGTTCTGCACAAAGGTTTGTAAGAAGCTTCAGTCGAGGGTACTGGGCCCCAAGCGTGCAACGCCAAATGCTACTCGACGTAGCATTGACACCCCAATGCGGCGTATTATATATATATATAAACAAATAAGCGGAATATAATCAACCGGAATGGGGATACCATCCGAATGAAGTCGTAAGAAATTCGGAGATGATTCCTTGTTTAAGTATCGATCACTCCTACCCGAGGCACCGGGGGACGAATACTTGGAGGATCATCCCACGTAATAACTGGTTCGTCACTGGGGTTAGTTCACCCATTTATACATGGTTAACAGTTACTAAGTGCTAAGAATAGTGGGTGAACTTATAAATGGGTGAATAGTCCTATTATGAAGTGGGTGAATAGTCCTAATCGTCACTATTCATCCTATTATAAGTGGGATGAACCATTGAAAAGCTTGGATATGCTTGGATGAATAGTTCATAGCTTGGCGTCAACGGGTCCCAGAGTTTTTCGCGACAAATTCCGATGTGGTCTGGTAGAATGTGTAGCACTAAATGCCATAAGCCTTGGAATCAATGCTAAACAGCTACTGCCTGGGATAATCCGTACGTGACTGGCTGATTTCTGTAAATGGCATCAGCTGAAAACATGGATGATATCTCATGAATGGCGAGCAAAAGGGTCACCCCAGTTCGAGGACCATTAGCTTCCGCAATATAACCAACTAGTAATTACTTGTGATTTGTGACACAAATTACACACCATGAAACTATCCAAGCTGGCTATATGATGTTATATAAACCACACCATTGGCAATCCAACACCTTCAATCATGATAATCATCCAAGTAATCCCTTCCAGCGCTTATCATGTTTCTCTATATCCAATGGTTTTTATACACCCAAAAGATGGGAATCCAGTATGAAAGCACGACGTCTTATACCATCCAGTCATTTTTGAGAAAGCCTTATAGCAAGCAAGCCCACAATAGATAGAAACTTGGGCAACCTTCAAATACGAAGTACATTATAATCCTTACCATCCTGGAAGTACTTTTCTACCGTGTTGGGAGTTGCTAATTATACAATAAATAGGTTTGACCCCATTCCTTTGCAAGTTGAAGGTCCAAAACTCGTTTATTTGTCATTTCGTGCAACTTCGAAACCATCCTCTGCAACCTCTTGACAATACTGCCAGACTCTTCCCATGCACAGGGGCCCCCTAAGAACATGAAAAAGGTTCAATTTACTACTAAAAAAAATACATTTACTACTCTTCTATCTTTTTGTGTTTCTGGAAAGAAAGACCTAAAGATTGGATGAGGATTTGCCACAGTTTATCCCTGTTCTTATCCAATTTTGGGCTTGCCAAGTGAACCAAATGAACCAGGCCGCTCCTCCAGTATCAGCACCTGGAAGTCGGTCAGAAGTGACCCAGGAAATACTGGGGAATTGCTGGTGATCAACAAAAAGGGTGATACATGACCAATCTTAGATACCCTGCAAAAAATCACAAATTCTCAGCTGGTGAACGTAGATAATCCCATTGATACCAAAAGACTCAAGGATTCGTTTCTATCAATCCAGTTGATTGACCTAGTAATCATCCATTAATCATCCATTAATCATCCCATTAACCATCCATTAATCATCTTGGATTTGCCGATATATCTGGGATTTGCCGATCCGAAAGCACCAAAAAAAATCCACCACAGATCCCCATCCAATCGGGTCCAAGTCGTGGGAGAGTTTCGACGACTTTTGGGTCAAGTTGAAGATCTTCAGCAAATCAATATATGGAAAGCCATAGAAATAGTTGATTTTCCCATTTATAGTTGGTTTATGATGTTAAAACCTATTAAAGATCTTCAGGATCCAATTGATGGAGCTACGTTAGTACTGTACCATATTTTTGGCTACATGAATTGTGGGGATATCCCCTGAAATTTAGGCCTCAAAAATAGGCCTAAAAAATATATATGGAATCGGTACCTCCAATCCAATCGGTTCCTGTTGCATGGCCATTCAGCAAATGCAAGACCATGAGACATCAACCAGGTACTGGGCTGGAAAAAAAGCTGCTTTTGCTTGATTTTGAGTAAAGAAACCTCTGAAATGACAGTCAACTACAAGGTGGTGCCCCATAGTTAGCTAAGTTGGTTTATAAGTCCCATAACTATGGTTTATGCCAGATATAACTATATATAGTTAATGGGGTTTATAAAACCACTTATAACTGGGGGGCACCATCCTGTATCGTCCTGATATATGTCATGGGTCAAATTACATGGGATTGCTGTGGTATTTGTTCGTCCGTCCAATAATGGGAATCCAAACATGATAGGTATATATAAATCTCTATCCTGATTACTGGTTGGTGGTTTCAATAATAGACAATATCCTGATTTAATGGTGATTTAATGATGGTTAATAATGTTTATTGGAGAACCATAGTTATTGGATAACCATTACTGGTTGGTGGTTTTAACCCTACCCCTCTGAAAAATATGAGAACTCGTCAGTTAGGATGATTATTCCCAATATATGGAAAGTCGTAAAATTCCATGGTTCCAAACCACCAATCAGCTATTGATGGATTACCATCCCCCCTTATTGGGGCAATTTCACTCAAGTTTTGACCCTGGCACATCTAAAATTGTAGCCCAGACAAGATTAGATAGAACAGTAAAACTCCATCTGGAAATATTGGCAAAATTATACTCTTCTATTTGTATGTATATATAATACAATATAATATAGTGTGAGTATATATAATTATATATACACCATCTAGTTCTTTAACATAGCTATGGAAAATGGTCCATATTTTACATATTTAAAAAACATGATTTCCCATAGATTAATATAGATTTATAGTTATGTTCAACAAACCCCAGGGTACAAAGCGTACAGAGCCAAGCAATTTATAGGGCTTCAACATGATCGAAAACCCATCGACCCAGAGTGGAATTGCCCACCTGGTACGTATCCAACCAAGACATGCCTTCCGAAGTCATCAAACATTCATTTTGCTGCAGCAAGTTTTCACCATTTATGGATATTTATGGATGATTGTCCCGGCGAAGTAAACCGGAGATGTCCTACTGCATCCAATGGTGTTTCGCAATGGGAACTCGTTTCGCAATGGGAAGAAACAGCTTTGCAAATTCCGAACAAAAATCCCAACGGAACCGATGCTGTTTCATGAAATTCGTATTCTTTGAGGAAACCATTCCCTATGGATCCAGTCGTACCTTCTGAAAGGAAGTGGGACTGGGGCCGACTGGGGTATAATTTACGAAAATTTGGAGGGTTAGCCGTACCTTCTCAGACAGTCGCCATGGATCCATAGGGATATGTTCGGGAATTAATAGAATAAGCACATGAAATGTCGGGGAATTATCCATAGAATCACTCTTCCTTTTTTCATCACAGCAGTTAGTTTTCATGAAATGGTGTGATGGCCTATTCTCTGACAACTGGGAGGCCCTTTTTCATCACACCAGTTCGCTCTCAGCCGCCCACTGAACAGGCAGCCGAGCAATGGAAGTCCTGACCTCGACCCAGAGGAAACGACACGTTTAAGGCGCTACCGGCAGCACGAAAACCCTACGGGAAACATACAGAAAAACATGAGAAGATGGTGACACACTATAGGGAAAATAAGGGGAAATAGATGAAATATGATAAAGTTGTCTAAAATAGTGAAACATGTTCGGCAACATGTGGGAAACATGGGGATAACTGTATAACCAGGGGTGTGTCCTACAAAATGCAGGTAGAAGCCTACAACATGCGGAAATCTACCCATTTTCTTCAACCAATTCTGGGATACTTGGTGGTGTTGGTGGTTAGGCTTAAATTGGGATTTCGACAATTAACAAGGAAGAAACAAAACATAATATAACTGGGATATAACTGGGAAACCATGGTTGAATAAGGGAGGATTCCAATAAAGTTTTGTCTTTAATCCAATGAATATGATATAATGTGATGATGTTCATATCGAGTTTGTGGCTCAAAAAACTCCTCTAAATGGCGAAGATCTTTGGAACCACCCGCCCCTTGAAATGGGGCTCCCCTAGGAGGGACGGGTAAGTTGGTTGCATCAAATTGAACTAACCAAAAAGGCTAACATGATGGATATCTATGGATATCTATGGATATCTATGGATATCTATGGATGTCTATCTATCTATCTCCAGTCACAGGGCCTTCCAGTACGTGCGTTTCCTGTCACTTGTTTATATAGTTGTGTTCATCAATCATGATACACAGACCCCCACAGAAGACGTATAGAGTCATAGAGATTCTAGAAATTCATGATAACCATCAATCATAATGTAATAATACATAAGACGTATAGAGATTCTAGAATAATGATAACCATCAATCATAATGTAATAATAATCATATGTTGTAATCACAATTATGTCCTGTGCGGGTTGATCTTGGTTCATAACCATATGATTCGGAGTTGAGGGTTTAGTCAACAGCCTCGGCAAAATGAGGCGCTCGATTTGGGGGATTACTACTAAACAAAGCTGAGTGGCGTGATGCGTTGTTTTACCTGCAAAAAATGGTAGTTTAAACCCACAACAATATTGACATTTCCTGTTAAGGAACTCTGATTGATGCCCAACTGTTGCACCTATGCTTAAAAGAAAAAGTACCAGAAAATTAAATCAAACAAAACATATAAAAACCGCTGTTCTTCAGATTTCTCCCTACTTGGAAGTGCAGTTCCAGTATCAAAGACGTGGATATGTTTAACTAGGAGTAACTAGGTATAGTATGGTATAGTTAGTTCGAAACGGGACCCAATATCCCAACTTATGGGCTTGAAATCACCATGTTACAGCCAAGGCCCCACCTGCACGTGCTTCTTCCAGTTCAGGGTCTCGAGCCTGATCCAATCCCCTACGAAATCCCCTACGAAATCATGGTTTCGTTTAGGGGGTGTTTCATATGAATGGCTGGTTGGTGGTTGACCGACCCCTCTGAAAAATATTAGAGTCAGTTGGGATGATGAAATTCCCAATTAATATGGAAAGTCATTCAAAATTCCATGGTTCCAAACCACCAACCAGATATGAATCGGAAGGGATTTCGACTCATTTGACTTAAGATTCATGGCCATGGTTTGTCGATGAGTTCTTGATAAAAAGGTACGATCGCAGGGGTTGGCTTAGCTTGGAAATCAAAAAAAAATGCTCTCAAGCAAGAAATGAGGAAGACGCGTGATAATGGATTGGTACAGTATGGGTCAATTTTGGAGACTTTCACAAACCAGGATGCCACGTATCGTATCCCAAATCCCCGTATACATAGGCCTTATATATGGTAGGTACTTCCAAATTGGATACCTGAAATGGCCATTGATAGTCTAATGGTGTGGTGTCAAAGTCAAAGAAATGTCCCGCTCTTGATGTTCACACCGCAGCTTTTCTGCAACCGATCGGATTCCAGCAACACTTTGGTCGCGCAGGCCAACTCCGGCTCGCTAGGTCAGCAAAAACAGAGCAATCGTTTAACTATACCCTTCACCAGAGGTTCGGACAAAAATGTTTGATGCTTAAGTCATGCCAAGTCCTAATATGTTTGTTGATTGAAGCCATTTCAAACTTTATTCCTGGTGGTATTCTATGGCTGATCTTAGATGCCTACCTGCCATGGCCAATCCTAGATTACCATGGGGTAAACCTTCAGATGTGGAAAACCCATAGGGAAACCCTCGGAAATTCCAGTTCAATTGGATCATTTTTGGCTGGGTCTTAGGCACATCGAACTGTTAGTTTACAAGAAGGTAAACTTAGTAACGAAGTTTAGCAATATGTGTGATATTGCGTGATGCTTCGTTCCCTCATTTTTTCATATTTTTTCTGGTCAAACCGAAACACGTGAAAAAAACGCGTCTCAAAAGGCACCGTTGACCATTCAAAATCTTGGTGAAACCAGTGAAGCCCCAATTTATCGATGCAAAAAACATACTCAACCCGTCAGTTTCCCATTGCATTCCCATTCTTTTCCCATTCAATGTTGGTTATATCTCTACTTTTCATCCTTGAAACATGTTGAACCCCACTTTTGGGGGGTTGGTTCAACACTTAAACACTCAAGCTTTAAAAAAAAACATGGCCAGTTCCATTCTATTCACACTGTTGAACCCGCTTTTTTTGGTTGTCCCATGATATTTTCCGTTGAACTCAACGCTTTTCCCATCCGTTTTTCACCAAAATTCACACAGACTTGGACCTCGGAAGGACGGAGTGCAGGTGCGTCTGCGTATGCACCGTCATCTCCCGACGAAGTTGCGGCTGCTCCGCAGCCGCGAGGTCGACTCTTGCACGGCCTCCACAAAAGCCGCGGGGGTGGAGGTGTGACGATGCGAATGTGGGAAAAAACTTGGGAATATGATAGGCATAACAGAGTTTGCCCGAACATAGGCTAGTCCTCAAAGTGAATGAACTGGATAGTTTATCATAATTAATCTTCGCCAGATCATGCCCTAAGCCATCTCATTGGACTACTTTTTGATCATAGCTTTTCCATGGCTTAGTTCATCATCCCCAATTACCCAGGTTTTTTTCAGCTCCCTATTGTTACTTGTGCTTAGCAGGGAATTTTCGGGAATGATCCACTGGCTAACTATCAAATCTATCATCCCAGCAACCCCCAGCAACCCATCCATTCCCTAAGTTTAGCACCAGTAAACATAATTATTATAGATACACTAATTTATAGATGGGTTAGTTCATCATCCCCGAATCCCCAATTACCAAGGTTTTTTTCAACTCGATATTGCAACCAATCAACAAGGATCTTTTTTGACTCACATGTTGATCACCGCCGCAGATTCAGAAAGATGTTCACGCCAAAGAAATCTCGCGAGAAATGAAGTCTTTGGACAGAGAGGTAGATCATCCTGGTTGATTCTGTATATAATGGCAGACTAACAACACTAACAACTATATATCTATAATTGTATATAGATATAATTATATAATATCGTATATATATAATATATAATATATATATTATATATATAACAATGATGATGGTTTATGACAATCGTGATGAGTCCGTTCCCAATATATATTTCCAGATCTACACCTTGCTCTTCAATCCCCTACGTTCATGGTCAAAGCTCATCTTTCGCTTGGACAAAAATGTAAGTTTCCCTCGTTCAAGTTGATTCCATTTATAGTTACCTAAGGACCTAAGTCAAATACTAATTATTGATCATTATATCCTTGATCAAATCCAGTTGATTCCATTTATAGCTACCTAAGTCAAATACTAATGTTTGATCATCATTATCCTTGATCAAATCCATCATTGTCATAATTAGATATAATTAGATCCCCACAAAAACACTTCCATCAACTCAGGTCATGTGCCAAATCCTGGAAGTCATGTTCAAACTTCCATGTTTATCTCGTTTCCACATGAATACCCTCTGGTAAACTAACATAACTATGGAAAATCACCATTTTCAATGGGTAAATCCACTATAAATCACCATTTTCAATAGCTATGTTAGTTTACCAGAGGGTATCCCTAACTTAACCCCACCGATCCCGCTCCCGTGCCGTCGCTGCAGTGCGTGGCCAGGGCGTAGCAGGCCAGCAGCAGCGTCAGCAGCTGCGTGCCGCGACGGAAGCCCTGCGCCAAAACCCAGGTACCGAGCGTCGGGCCCAAGGCTTCACCCAGGGCTGCGGCGGCGTTGAACAGGGAGGACCTGGACGATGGCCCAACGGGGAGGACCTGAAAGTTAAGGGGATCTATAGAGGGAATATATGGGTTTTATATGGTTTTTATGTCATGGGAATATTTTTTAGGCCCATCCATGAATAAATTTGTGAAGGAGCAGACTTGGATCCACCATCCCCTTAAATTTACCATCAATGGGTGGTATAAACCATGGTATCAACCATGAAAATATATGGTTGGTTTATTGTTTTACTATAACATTACTGGTAAACGTTTACAGTTTGCGAACTGGAAAATCACCATCTTTCAGTTCGGTAAATCAACTATTTCTATGGGCCATGTTCAATAGCTCTGTGAAATTATCTCGTGGGATCTAATGGGAATATATGGGAAATGTAATCTCGTTGGTGGTTGACCTACCCCTCTGAAAAATATGAGTCAAATGAGTGTTCCCATGTATTCCCAATATATGGGAAAATGAAAAATGTTCCAAACCACCAACCAATGTACTGGGAATATTTGGGAAGTTATCCCGAAAAGCCAGGACATCTCCCATGGTGATTGCATCAACAAATGAAATGTCATGGGAATATATGGAGCACCTGATGGAGATGACGAAGAGGCGAAAATTCGGGAGTGGAGGAACAAGAATGAACACGGATAGTTTTTTGCAGGGTAACACATGTCGATTCCTCAAACAAATCATGTCTCTATAGCTAACAAAGGCAAGATATATACCCTCTGGAAAACTAACATAGCTATTGAAAATGGTGATTTATAGTGGATTTACCCATATAAAATGGTGATTTTCCATAGCTATGTTAGTTTACCAGAGGGTGTATATATATATAATAGGCAAAAAAGAACAACAAGTTGATCCAGGATGATCCAAGATAGAAAAATGCTGTCCGGTGTCCAAGTCCAGTAGGTATCGACTGACTGTAGATGGATGGTTTTTCGAGTTCCGAGTTTCCAGGTACCAAAACTGGTATCATCAAACATGGGTTAGTTGGAAAATCCTCAAACTAAATGAAGGTTTTAATAGGAACATCATCTACAAATGCTGGATTTTCCAGCTTATGTAAAAGAAATGGTGGTCCTCAGCAGAGCAAGCTCAGTCATCCCTTAATCCCCACAGGATTGAAAGGACTTGGGAGACTAAATGGATCATCAACTCATAGACACCCCAGAACTGTTGGAATTCTGTCGGGGGCTCGAATCGGAGGCAAGTTATGAGTAGTTACACCACCTGGAACATGGATTTTTTTGCAGAAAGTCTCGGTTTCGCAATCCAAAAATCATCATCCAAACCTACAGCAACCACCAAAGAGATAGAAAAGTAACATCCTAAAAGTGGTATAAAATGCTTTTCTGTCTACCATCTGGTTATGACTAACATAGCCATGGAAAAAATCCCGTAAATAAATGGAGGTTTTAGTGGGGAAATCATCTATTTCTATGGGCCATCTATACCATGGCTATGTTAAATAACCAGAGGGTAATAAATTCCCATAGCTATGGAAAATCACCATTTTCAATGGGAAAATCCACTATAAATGGGCCATTTTCAATAGCTATGTAGCAAATTACCAGAGGGTAAGGGATCACACCTTTTTCAAGCCCTAAACCGACCCCCCACAGGCAGGCGTTCTCGGAGTCCCTGCACAGGTGGAGACACCTTATGTCTGGCAACCTGGAGATGGCAAATCTGAGATCACCGTAAAAAAGCATCGGTGCTTAACATGCCATGGCCATAGTTAAATAGGTGATTTTCCCATAGAAATAGTTGGTTTATGATGTTAAAAGCTATGAAAATCTGCTTGGTGGTTGACCTACCCCTCTGAAAAATGATGGACAACTCGTCAGTTGGGAGGATGAAATTCCCAACTGAATGGAAAAATAATCCATTCATGTTCCAACCCACCAACCATCCAAAATGTCAACATGGGGCTGGTGAACGAAGAAACATGTGAACTTCGGCGGACTGGTTTGGATCATTTCATGACCCGGAGGCTGGGGGCTTCCATTACTTTAGGAGGCTTCCCATTCATAGAAAAAGATAAAATTGTAACTTGGAAGTGCAATTCCAGTTCTAAATGGATATTTCATGATATTTCTACTATAGTCATATCCATATCCCAGTTTGTGGGCTTGAAATTCCCATGGCTGTAGTTCCCTGAAACCGCTGCCGTTTTCTATACAGTCATGGCCCGAAATACCACTTATAAGTCAATTGTAACCCCATTTATGAAAGGATAACCCCATGTATAACCATTTGAATACCATTTATAGCTGGTAGAGGGCTTTACCCTCTGGTAAACTAACATAACTATGGAAAATCATAACTATAAATGGTCATTTTCAATAGCTTTGTAACAAATTACCAGAGGGTAACTGTACCCATTCTTTGGACACTTCGTATTTCCTCCGGTTTTGTTGATCTATCGCCAAGAACCAAATGGCCCAAACGGCTGCCCAAACGGCCCAAGGGGGAAATCATGGCCACCCAGGTCCCCTTGTATCTAGGTGTTGAGAGCAGCTGCAATTCACATAGCGAAGTGTAAAATTATCATGTTCTATCCATTTTCAATAGGTAAATATTGTATCAGACCACTTTAACATATGGAAAATCACCATTTTCAAGAGGTACCCTCTGGTAAACATACAAAAAACTATGGAAAATCACCATCTTTCAGTTCGGAAAACTCACTATAAATGATCATTTTCAATAGCTTTTTGTATGTTTACCAGAGGGTATATTCCATTAATATCCCATTGAATCACTATAAAATCCCATTAATATCCCATTGAATCACCATTTTCAATAGGTAAATCCTTTAATGGGCCACTTCCTACAACCTCCCTCCATCATGGTCCATCGTTTTCCGCCTCAACGCTGACGTCTCTCAGCCTGGAGGCCGCCGTATCCACCTAATGCTTTCGCGAACGGTGCCACGACTAATGGCCGCGTGGGCTATGGTCAATACTCATGGTTAATAACCATTAAAGGTTATATACCGGTAATGGTTCATAGGGATTTATAATAACCATTAATACTCATAGGGATGACTAACCCCTTATTATAAATCCCTATGAACCATGGCCCCTATTATCAATACTAATAACCATTAAAAACGGGGCTAGTCATCCAATGGTTCTAATAGGGATTTATAGTAACCATTTAATAAGGATCCTTATTATGCATGGGATGACCATCAACCATATAGTGAGTATTGACCATGGCTCACGTGGGCAAAAAGAAATTTCAGAAAAGGGTTGGAGAATTGAACTGGTGTCAAATATGCCTTGTGGGAATCATGAAGACAAGGATTCTTTTTTTATCTGTCGGTGGTTTCAAGCCATCTGAAAAATACGCTCCGCATTAGCATCCCATCATCCTATGGTTGAAAAGCAAACCAAAATGAAACCACCAGCCAATCATTGCTTGTATATCCTTTATATCAGACCTAAAACAGGGGTTGGTAAACGTCAAAATGTCATAAAATATCATAAAATGGCACCCAGCTATTGGGGATATAATCTCCAACAAATACTTGAAGCTGCATCCGAACTCCCCAAGCCATGGGACATTTGTGTTGTGTAAATCCACATTTCCCCCAGAGTTCCCCAGGTGTCCGGACCATGCTGGGCAAGACAGGAGTCCAACAAAGACCCCAACCACTACCTTACTGGATCCGAAAGTTCGAAAATCATAAGGCCGAAATATGGAAGTGCTATAGATCCAATGGGGCCAGAGGGATGAGATTTAGCTATTGACAGTGTGAGTTTCTGGTTGGTGGATTTAGATCCCATAAAATATCCCAATTAATGTCTGGTTGGTGGCTATTGAAGCCATGGCCATAGTTAAATAGTTGATTTTCCCATAGAAATAGTTGGTTTATGATGTTAAAACCTATTAAAATCTGGTTGGTGGTTGACCTACCCCTCTGAAAAATATCAGAGTCAGTTGGGATGATGAAATTCCCAATATGTGGAAAAATAATCCACATGTTCCAAACCACCAACCAGATATGGCTAAATAGGCCAAAAAAAAACTAGGGTTTGTTGAGGCTCAATAAGGTTTGACATGCAACAAACACCCATGGCTGGTAATCTTTGGGGAGGAACCCGGACCCGGATCCTATCGGGCTTTGTAGTCCAAAGTTTCCTATGAAAAAACGTGGTCTCATGGTGCACCATCTTGGGGTATTGTTTAGTAAGAAAACCGTTTACTGACTGTTACAGAGCAAGGAAAAGCCTTAATATATATATATATAATTAATCAACTAATTAATTCAGTCAGACGCAACATGTGCGATCCTCAAATCTGGATTTCACAATGAACATAGCCTCCTTGCATTCTCCACAATATTTTCGGCTTAAATTGAAATTCATATCCAAAAGAAATCATGTTCACCGGTTCTATGCCCATTTTTGGTATGTGCAATATATCCCCATGTTATCTTGAGTTTAGATCCCTAATTAAACAAAAACACAACAACATCCCTCAACATTCACCGGACACAACAAACAGTTCACCAAAAACGTTTGGAGAACTTGTCAGACTTGTCATGTTCCTCGCTGTGTTCATATCTCAAGTCTTTTAGGTTCATCTTCCCCTGCTAATCCTCTCACTTCGGTTGTGCTTGATTTAACAACAAAACAACAAGGAACCCAGAGATGTTCAAACTTCTTCCGCAAGCAGGTTTCAAATACTGTGTGAAGGTTACTGCCAAAAGGCCATTTCATTCATGTGCCCCTCCAAAGGGGTTCCTAATCAACAGTAGGTATACATATACCCCTTTAAAAAAGGCTGAACAATCCTTGTATTGTATGTATGCATAGATATATATATATATATAATCATATATATATCAAATATCTACATATAATATATATATATATATGTATATCATATACAACTATAGAAATATACAAATACACAACTATGAAGCATATCACATATCCCTTGCTCCCTTAAAGACCCGTCATTTCTTGTCACATCCCCGCCGCAACCTCCACGGATCTCACCCAGGCACCGATCAACAGAAGCCCCGCCAGCTGAGACGTCCATGGACTCACCAGCTGCCAGCTGCCCATCAGGAAACATCCCAAGCCGTAGATCAGCAGACCTAAGCCGTAGCTGCAGTATGACGGATAAAAATTGAGAGAAGAAACCAATGTGTATACATATCATATGTAGATAAGATTGGATATGCCATGTATATACCTAGATACAAATGAATACATACGTATATACATGTATACATATATATATATATATATACGAATTTATGTATGAACATGTGTCCCTGGTTCCTTTATATGGTTCATCCTGCGGCTACACCACAGTGACTTGGTAGTGACTGTTGATCTCCAGTTGAACATTTATTGCGACGTGTGAAACCACAAAGGTGTACAAAACAAAAATGAATTGAAAAAACCATTGAAAGTTGGAAACCATTAAAAGGTTGGAAGAAACCATGTTCAATGATTTTGGTTTCTAAGTTGGAAAAACCATTGAAAAACCCTTGAAAAAAAAACAGTGAAACCAAAATCATTGAAATACCATTGAACACCAAATCACATAAAAATCAGAAGACGTGTCTTTTTAGTTTGAAAAACCATTGAAACCAAATCACACAAAATCACTTGGTGCATAGGCTGCCTGTTGGCACCGGAAAGGAAATCTTCCCAGCCATGACTGGGTCCCTCTGGTAACTTTCTCTCCTTTGCAGCATCTCTTACAGTCTTTGTCCGAAGTCAGCCTGAAGTTCTTTGAATACTCCATGAACTGCATCTTCTGATGGAATAGAGAAATCCAATCAAAATGGTGATAGTGCCAGCCGAAATGGGAGCCTGGAAACATGGAACCCTACATGTATATATATACATATACGTTGCATGAAACCTCACTTTCTGAAAAAAATGACAAGAATATGTTCTTTCCCAAACATTTTAAGCTACTTTTAAGCCCATTTAAGCGTAGTAGTACCTTGCGTGTCACGATATACATATACATATACATATACATATACATATATATATATATAAATATGGGTAAATTATAATATTTCACTAACCTGAATAGTTCGGCCATTTGGGGATGATTCCCCGAATCCTAACCATGATTTACCCAAATGATTGACCCCAAAACCTACTTCTGTTCCAGGTCAGGAGCAAACGTGTGTCCCTCTGAAAAATATGACAACTCGTCACTTGGGAAGGATGATTACCCTCCAGTAAATTAACATAGACCCTGCCAGATAGGGGTTGGAAGATTAGTTTCCATTAAAAATTGGTGATTCTCAGGGTCTATGTTTATTTACCAGAGGGTATTTCATATATTATGGAAAAATAGAAAAAGTTCCAAACAAACAACCAGATATAAGATGTCATTTGAAGAAATATCATGGGTATATATGTATATATAGTATCAACATCTACATGTTTTCATCATATTCATGGCACACGGATTTATATACTACAATTGAGCCATGAAAAATAACCCTATCCCATCTCATTATACTAGTCGGTTGAAAACTGTTTCTCTACTATGGGCTAGTTCATAATCCGCAATAACTCAGGTAGAAAAAAACTCCATTGGTCATAATCAATGAGCAGTTGTGTATTTTCTTTATGACTCAATTGGAGCTTTCCGAAGTCATGGGGGTACCCCAAATCATCCAAGTCATGTCTCATTTCTTATAGTAAAACCCGTTGTGACTTGGGGATCCCCCATGACTTAAGAAACCCCGAATTTGTCAATGTTCGACGAGTTGAGAGTTTCCCATGAATACCCAGTAAATCCCAATTCTTTATGGATAAATCACTGGATAAATCACCATTTTTCATGGTTAAATTCCAGTCTTCCCTACGTTTTCCCTAGGTTTTCCCTAGGTTTTCCCTACATTTTCTCCCAGCCCCAGCCGCGCACCTGACGTCATGAGCCACTTACTTCCCACGTACTCCGCCAGCGTCGGCACCGCCATGGCTCCAAAGGTGCTGGGGAGCGCCGACCTGGATAAACCGCGGTTTCGGAAGGTGGCGGCGTCGAAGGAGTTTGGGGATTCCAAGGTGGTTTTTTTGGTTAGAAAATTATAACCATGGTTACCCTCTGGTAAATAAACATAGACCCTGAAAATCACCAATTTCTAATGGAAACTAATCTTCCAACCCCTATCTGCCAGGGTCTATGTTAGTTTACTGGAGGGTAGTAAATTATGGTTTAGGGTTATGAAATAATAACCATAGTTACTGCAGTTATTTTACTGGGGATAATTCACTGATAGCCATTTATCTGGGTAGAAAATACGATATGGATTATGTATACGATATAATCATGGCCAATCTTAGATACCCCAAGTATAATATGCTAGTTTTTATAATTTACCCAGATGTATTATGTAGCTAGTCTTTTTTATGTATGTACTATGTGTCATAATAGATAATCAACATGTAAGTATACAGCCATGTTAGACTATTGGGATATTTCTAAGCATCATTATAGCTGGTTGGTGGCTGACCTACTCCTCTGAAAAATATGTAAGTATAGTTATATGTAGTAATATTATATGCTACATGACATATATATATATATACATAGCTATATATCGTAAGTTCAGTAATACGATATATGGTAAGCGGAGCTCCCATTTACAATAGCTAATTAACCGTTTTCAATAGCTAAGGGTGGTGAACATATCTCCAATAAGTATGGTTTATTCTGGTACTGATAACTATAGTTAATAGGGTTTATAAACCAACTTAAACACAACTGAAAGGGGGGCACGTTATAAGTATACTTGCATTATATTGATATGTTATCTTCTTGCGGATATATAGATGGCTAGTAGAAGTTATATTGGATTATATAAGTTTTGTATATCAACATAACTCGTTCTGTATGTCATACTCATTTGTCTTGTTTGGATATACCCGTAATTTGTTACACTACACTTTGCGAACTGGAAAATCACCGTTCTAGTATTTAAAAATAAATTACTCCGTCTATATATAATATATACATATATATATATATGCAAGCATATAATTAGCCAACCCAAAAAATATTTGGAAAGGTTTCGATTGTTCAATTTAGGGATATGATCTAGTACTAACATATAACAAAATGAGAATTTAACCAGCAAAATTGGGTATAAAACCAACCATCTAAAGGTTTTGTATAGCAAATACCCGGAAAAAAATGGGTTCAATTATTCAACTTATCACCATCAATTGTTGTCTTGTTTGGCTCTTGATGGGGAATTTGATGGGTTCGAAAAGCCATGGAAAAACGAGAGTATTAACTAATAAACATGGGGATATCATCCAGACATGATGGATTGATGAAGGAAAGAGTAACGCCGAAAAAGGATTCAGAAAAGATTCAACTTCTCACTACTTTAGTAGGAAATCTCAAGGTTAGAGATAGGTTGTGTAGGATTTTAGTAGGATTGATAGAAAAGGTACGCAGTTCATTTTGATTCGATCTTTTTGGGTGATATATCCTACTAAGATACCACTAAAATGGTGATAACAATGGATTTGTCTTGTTTGGATATAGGGAGGTGAATATACATGTTGGGACTCAGTGATAATCAGAAAAAGGTGGGAATCAAATTAAGCATCTGAAACAGGGACTTTGAATGCAATATGCAATGGGATTGATAAAACCAGCAAATGATATTTGGAGGTGTCCTAAAATTGGAGGTATCCCCAAATCATCCTAAACTGGTTGGTGGTTGACCTACCCCTGAAAAATATGAAAGTCAGATTGGATCATCATCCAGTTCCTATTGGGGAAAATAATCCAGCCATGTTCCAGTCACCACCAACCAGAGATTATTAACCATCATTAACCATCATTAACCATCATTAACCATCATTAACCATCATTACCCCATACTAAACCAATGTTCCAGTCACCACCAACCAGTAAATTCGTCTAAACTAGACCATTTCAGTATTGCCATGGTAACTTGGGGATCATCACTTAAGAACCCCCTGACTCAGGCGTTTCCTCCGAACTGGGCCACGAAAAAAGTGATGCCATGGTGAGAGGGAAGCTGAGGTTTGAACAATGGGATTGTGGACTTGGGTTCTTCATTTGGGTATGGATCAATACCTATTAATACCATTTTTAGGGGGATGAACATCCATTTACCAGCTATTTTGATGTTCACCATGGGTATAAGGTTTTGACCCATCCCCATTTGTCGATGGATCTTTCTCTCTGGGATTATCTCAATGGGATTGAACGCAAATTTGAGACAACTCCATATAGATCCATATACCCTCTGGTAAACCAACAAAAAGCTATGGAAAATGGCCCATTTATAGATGGTTTACCTATAAAAAACGCATGGTGATTTTCTAGTTCGCTATCTAACAAATTACCAGGCCGGGTAATTTCATATGCCAGCACTCTTTTGGTAAAACGCGCAGAGGTCATATCATTCCACAACGTGATCCATGGTGATCCACTGGAAGAGACAAGCTCAAAATCCTAACCCCAAGTTGTCCCATCAAATGATGTTCATGTCCCCCAAAGAAAAATTGGAAGAACCTTGGGGTAAGGCCCATGCATGTTGAGACGGACAACCGTTTTTTTCCATAGTGTTGGTTATATATTAATATATATATATATATATCCCACTACATCCCATTTAAAATCGCTCAAAAAGTGTCAGCTTTGTACTTTCTACCTCCATTCTTGCTGATTGAATCCCGTGTGAAAAATCCCCGGTTTTTTCGTTGGCCCAATCCATGAAATTCATACTAAAACCCAAACAGATAGAAAGGCAATGAAAACCACGATTTCAGATTGGGAATCTACGACTTTCTAAAAATCTTTTTTGGGGCAACACAGGCAACACATATTGAAACCCTTTGCTGTTGCTGGATTGCTGGGTGCCCCTGACAGAGACATCAGGAAGCCAATCACCGACTGGTTGAGGGGGCCTAAAACCTTGGAAAAATATCGCCCACGCAACTGGACCGAGAAATAGCGCGTTGGTTCAAAACGATTTTCCCTACTATGGGTCCTCACATAGAGAATTTGCCTAAATCAAAAACTGGTTTTGAGTTGATTGTCATTGTCCTTATCAAAATATTTCCATTGTCCAGAAAAAGATCGACCATTCCACCAATGAAAGTGAAAATAGTGTTGATGGAAGCTTCCATATGAGGTGTGTCTGAAAAAAAACAACTAAATCCAGTGGCTACCCTCTGGTAAATTAACATAGCTATGGAAAATCACCATTTTTCATGGGTAAATCCACTATAAATGGCCATTTTCAATAGCTATGTTAAATTACCAGAGGGTAATCATCGATTATCATTATGAACATGGGGGATATATGCCATGTTCAAACACCTTCGCATCACATCATGACTATCAAAAAATCCCGCATTTGCACCTGGTGCATCAGGTTGGGCTACGCTTCCTGCGGTTCTTCCAATCTATCTACATATTGTGGAAAATTTCATGAAAATAGCACGATTGTCTATTTCCATAGCTACCAGTATTCTATCCTGTTGTATCGCTACTCTATATATATATATGTATATCCCATTGTACAATAGTTGCATTACTATAATCTATCCAAATTTGATCATATTATATCCCATTATATGATCTATCATGGTATATCCTTTCTTCTAAACTGCTTGCTATACAATCCCCATCCCCATCCCAGGACGCGGACACCGCCCCTAACCGAGCAGCCTGAATGAAGTGATCACCTTCAGGGACGAATCCGAGACGGGGCAAAATGTCACTTGCCATGGAGGTGAACCGTTGGGAAAATCACCGAAGTTTGGTGGATTGTTGCGGCCCATGTTTGATGACACCAGAGGCGAACTTCTAATTTCTTATCAGCATCCAACCATTTCCACACCACCCTGTCATTCTCCACCGAAATCTCATCAAAAAGGAAAAAAAAACCTTCCCGAACCAGCTACATCTCCAAAAATCACCCAGTCTTTTCCACTCCATTACACACCATCAAAACACCGTTCAAACACAGTTTAGTCGCATCATTCATCACCATTTTCTCACCATTTTTCCATCGGTGAAATTTCTGCCAAGGAGCCCAGTAGAGGTTCGAAGCCACCCCAGACGCCCAGACATAACATGCTGATGCCACTCAGCAGCACCAGCCGCACGCTGCTCACTGAGCAGACCGTCACCTGCCGCGGTGCCGCAGGGTTCCGGGTTCGGGTTCGTGCAGAAGGGATATGACTCATGATACTGGTTGGCTTATAGAAAAATCCCCAATAATCCCCAAAATGATTACTAATTCCAACAAACAAAGCCTTATTTCATTGTGATTACTAGGATTTTGTTTTTTTGGGGGGATTCCCCGTTCTTGGATGAAATGATCCCAAGCCCCTTCATATATTATATCTAGCGGCGAGTGAGAAATCCCCGAAGGAATCAGAAGTAACCAGTTTCATGCCATCAGACTCACCAAATCCCACATCACCTCGGTTTCCGTTTCGGAAAATGGGGGTACCCGTCCGTACCCATTTTTTTCCATTTTTGACAGATGGATTTTCAAAGAAAAATGAGGGGCAGCCCCGTACCCATCATCCATTGATAGATTGGATTTTCCATGAAATAAACATAAATAAACCATCCAGCGGTATTTAGGGGTACCACTATGGAAAGCTCCAAATGTCGCCAAGTTGCCGTTGGATCTTCTTCCAGATCCTCGGCTCCATCGCTTCCTGAAAATGGTGATTTCGGCAGTCGATGCAGGTCATGGTGTACAACACCGGTTGATATTGGTTTATGATTTAATGGTGATTTAATGGGATTTACCCTCTGGTAAACTAACAGTTTACTATTGAAAATGGACATAGAAATAGTGGATTTACCCAGCTATAAAATGGTGATTTTCCATAGCTATGTTAGTTCTCCAGAGGGTACTTGTAACATCTTGTAACAGCATTCATAGGGTTTTTTTTTACTAAACATACCAAATAAACCATATTGCATGATATGTATTGATAGGATTGGTATATCGTATGTGTATGTAGGATGTTATTTTTCTAGGAGGATTTCCGAATATCGATATAGATTGTAGATCTAACAATGATATCCGAATAAATTATGATAATTCACTAACTTGAATTAAGGCCATTTGGAATGATTCCCCCTTACGATTATCATCCTGCCAGTGAGGTCTCAGTGAGGTTGCTGTAACTTATCCATATGTATATATATATATGGTTCTAATAGATATACATATATATATATATATGGTTCTAATAGATAGATAGATACATATATATATATATTATACATATCATATATGTGTATAGCAACCCACAAAAAGATAGAAAAGGAAAATCCTACTAAACCAGTGAAGAACTATCTATCTTTTTCGGGTGGTGTTATATGCATAACATATATATATATATGTATATCATATTATATGATATAAGCATGTCGGGGGGTCATAGGGGGTGACCATCCATATATATATATATATAGACCCTCCAGATAATTACCTATAAAAAAAAATGTATGTTCAATGTTACCTCATAGTTTTAGTAAATTTACCATTTCCGTTGGGTATTTGGATGGTCCAATCCTCTATATCCGACCCGCCTTCCACCAAGGGTTCGCTGCTGGAGCCGCTAGGTGATTTGCCACAGAAGGAAATCTCAGAGCTGTAACGGCACGTTGACGACTTGACAAGCAGAGTTGGTGATCAGATGTCAACCCTGGATGAACACCCTCTGGTAAACTAACATAGCTATGGAAAATCACCATTTTTAATGGGTAAATCCACTATACATGGCCATTTTCAATAGCTATGTTAAATTACCAGAGGGTAAATCTGAATAAACCAGGGTTTCTCAGGAGGGTACTCCAAAAATAATCTGATACTGAAAAATGCTACCCCAATTCAACAGCCGGTTTGGGGTTGAATCCAAGCTTGACATTGCGCCTTCCGAATTGGGAGCGTCACTCAGAAACATGAAAATATATGAAAATATGATCCCAGCATGCCAAACCCAGGGGTAAACATACAAATTGTGGAACATCCATGAGTTGTAGATGGCTTTCGGAAAAACCATGGGGACTTCTTTTTCCAAACGTTGACCTTCAGACCCAAACGGCCCATCGACCACTGCAGCTAGCCCAGAAGCTCCAACAAACAGCAGATGCAACACTGCACTCAAAGCAAAAGGTAGGAAAAAACCTGGCTGAGTCTCATCTGGGCAATACCCGGTAAACGAACTAACAGTTTGCGAACTTGAAGCCATGGCCCAGTCGAAAGTTCGTTGATTTACCCAGCTATAAAATGGTGGATCTTTCCATTGCTAAGGATATAATGGCCAAGATTTGCCATGTAGTTATGTAAACGTTTACCAGAGGGTATTCTGATCGAGCGAAAACCAAGATGAAATCTGGGCAATTCTAAGGAAAAACCTGAAATTCTACGCCAAAATCTGGCTCCGTAAAAGATCAACAAATGGAAATGTCAACCCCGGATTTTGCTAAACCATGGTTTATGGTGGTTAATGGTGGTTAATAGTGGGTGATGTATTGAAACCACCAACCAGTAAACCATGGTTTATTGGGGGGGGTACTCCTCCAATAGTCATGTCATCGGATACTTTTTTATGGTACCCTCCCAATTAAACAGCCGTTTGGGGTTTATTAATCCAGGGTTGACATTATATTGATATGTATATGTATAATGGTATACCCATATGGCTTGACTCTTGCAAAGCTGGTAAAACTCTCCCCTCTATGGCGCTGATTCTTCTTGGACATGGCCATCCAATGGTTTCCGAGAAATGAAGCTAGTTGGTGGTTCAAACAACCCAAAAACTACATTGGGATCCTGAATAAAGGTGATGAAAAACAAAGAATGACAAAGCTGAAACCAAGCTGCAGGTAATTTGGGGATGCTTCCCCCTACCATCATGGTGAGGTCGCGGTGAGGTTCTTACGATTTTACCAGTTGAGTGGTTTGAAATTGGGTGAAATGCGCCAAAAAAAACATTCATCGACAACGATTCAAAGGTGTTGGAGTGCAATGTATGAGATTCCCACAAGGTGGTGCCCCATAGTTAGCTAAGTTGGTGCAAATAAGTCCAATTTCACTAGGGTTGATGAATAGGGATTATATCTATAGTATTCATAGGCTTTATAAACCAACGTTCACATCACTATGGGACCATCCACCTTGCAGGGCGCCCTGCCTCCATATTGGAAGAGCACACCTGCACCAAATCTCCAGTGGGATCAGAAACTCCCGATGTCGGAAATTTCTCTGCCAAACAAAAGGATCTTCAGTTTCCCATGATTTTCCCATGATTTTCCCATGATTTTCCCATGGTTTTCCCATGATTTTCCCATGGGTTTCCCATGATTTTTCCCAAGCTCAGCTTGGATTTCCAGAGTTTTTTCCTCAGCGGAACTTTAGGTGGGGAACCTCCTAAGGTCCTAAACCCAATGCCACAAACCTCCCCGAATCAGGGAGTATTTCTTCTACCACCCATTTCCGCAAAGTGCGGCCCCCAAACGATAGCTAAGTTGGTGAACATAACTCCAAATTTCACTATGTTTTATGATATTTATATGTGTATATATATATGGTTATTTATATATATACAGAGTATTCATGGAGTTTATAAACCAACAAACATCACTGAGGGGACCCACATTGTAGATGTTTTTCTCGGCTATACCCTCCATCTGTAAGGATTTTCCCATGGTTTCCTATGATTTTCCTATGATGTTCCCACTAAAAGGCCAAGAGTCCACCCAAAAAGGGGCCAATGGTGACGCCAACGTTTCCGAAGACTTCCTGGCAACGTGGTAACGTGACTTTCTATACAGGGATTGATAACAATATGATGGATATAACAGTGTAGTATGGCTTTTAACAATGGGTATAACTATGAATGGTTATTCAACAATGGTTACAATATCTTATATATCATATATATACCCTCTGGTAATTTAACGTAGCTATGGAAAATCACCATTTTCAATGGGAAAATCCACTATAAATGGTCATTTTCAATAGCTATGTTAAATTACCAGAGGGTATATATATTATAAGGGGGATATGATTCTGGTTGGTGGTATACCTACCCCTCTAAAACTGAAACATATGAAAGTCAGTTGGGATGATGAAATTCCCAATATATGAAATGGAAAATAAAAGCCATGTTCCAAACCACCAACCAGAATATGATGGTTGAAATCACTAACACGTGATCAAGAATTCTTGATTTAGCAACATGTGTAGGAAGAATTATGTGCCATGTTCTTTCTTCCGTTCGCTTTTCTTTCCAACACACAGTTTCTTCACAGTTCTGATTCCATCAAACAGTAAACCCGCTTCCAGGTGTTCTTGCTTCAAACCAAATACCGTGTGGGACTCACAATTATGATAAACCATCCTCAACTTCTGGTTTATTGGTATGTTGTGGTAAAAATCCATGAACCATCCCCCAAATCACAATTTGTATGGTTTTTTTTCATGGTATATACTTATATACCATCCCAAATGGTAGCTAATTGGCGGTTGAGCCACCCCTCTGAAAAATATGAGTTCGTCAGTTGGGATGATGAAATTCCCAATTAATATGGAAAGATAATCCAGTCATGTTCCAGTCACCACCAACCAGAGATTATTAACCATCATTAACCATCATTAATGGATGATTATTCCCAATTAATATGGAAAATCACAAAAGTCATGTTCCAAACCACCAACTAGGTACCCTCTGGTAATTTAACATAACTATGGAAAATCACCATTTATAGTGGATTTTCCCATGAAAAATTGCCATTTTCAATAGTTACGTTAAATTACCTTCCGGGTCCCGAAGAGCGCAGCGAGCGCACCTGCAGCCCTACCACGCGGTTGAACTCGCCACTGCCCGTGAAGGTGCGCGCAAGGCGGGTACCTGAGGCCAGGCAGTGCCCAATGTGCTCGCTAAATCGTTAAGCTGCTTTCCTAAGTAAGTTCGACTTTAAAAAAATCGGTTTTCTGGGATATACAATGATATACATACAGATACCCTCTGGTAAACGTTTACAGTTTGCGAACTTGAAGCCATGGCCCAGTCGAAAGTTCGTTGATTTACCCAGCTATAAAATGGTGGATTTTTCCATAGTTATGTTAGTTTACCAGAGGGTATACAAATAATTACATGAGTTGAATCAACAAACAGGTCTGTCGGGGTACCCACAACTGGGGATCAATTGGAAAACATAAATCAGACCAATTTGCCAAGGGTCATCAATCTAAATAGACTGACTGACCGTCATAAAACTGAAATTATGTCTGCAAGCATGTAGAAAGAGGCACATATCTATAAATATATATATACATATATATATATGTGACATTTATATATGTATGTGTGTGTATGCAACCGATGCGTTATTACGTATCATATTACATATTTAATCATATTTATCCATATATCCAAACTAAACACCTGACCAAAGTGCCATATGTTTAAGATGTTCCATACTTTCCCAATTTGGGTGATAGAGTTTTTCATACAATCTTACATAATATAAATCAATATAATATACATCAATCTGGGTAAATTATAATATTTCACTGACCTGAATAGTTCGGCCATCTGGGGATGATTTCCAATACTAACCATGATTTCCAGGGTTCGGTCGCGACGTGAGGTCGTGATCAAATTTACCCAGATCAATAAACAAATTAAAAATGGGACATCCGGACATCAAAATGCTGATTTTCCCATGAAAAAATAGGGTGATTTCACCGGCGAGACGCTGATGGAGGTGTAGATGGGCGCAGTGGCCAGACCCTGGAGCGATCTCCAAAACATCCAGCCTCGCGATGTGGAAAAGGTTCCATTTACATATTCCAAAACTGGATGGATGGATGGATGGATGGATGATGGATTTTTATGGTTGAATCTGGATGAATCTGGATTTTGGATGGATGTTTACTATTGTTTACTTGTCCGCATCCTTTTTTTGGGGTGCTATAATTAAATATCGATTGTTTAAGGGAGGAACCCCCGTTCTCATGTTCAACTAGGGTTGGTTATATAGGGTTAACCAATCATCAAGCCTTGCAAAAACTTCTAAACAATTCAACCGAAGGTTCTATAATGTCGTGGTGCTAAGGGCAACCACTCTGTGAGGCAATGATTGGCAGTCACATTGCAGTCACATTGCAGTCATGCAAAAAAAATATGCAGGTCCTTCATTGCATCAAATCTCAGTTCATTCCAAGAAGTCGAGAGATTCACAGCAGCGCGTGGTAGCTGTCGGTGGTCATTGGCTTGCACACCCGTTTTATTCTAATTGGTGGTTGACCTACCCCCTTGAAAAATGATGGAGTTCGTCAGATTGGATCATCATCCAGTTCCTATTGGGGAAAATAA